TCCCCGCTGACGCCGCTCTCTCCGTGTCTCTCTCTTGCAGATAAGATGCTGGAGGGCTCCGCTTGCTGCCGAAGATCCCCCCCCGCCCTGGCCCTGCCGTGATCCCGACCCCCAGCCCAGCCAGGACCCCCGACCCCGCCGGGCTCCGATGGAAGAGGCGCCGGGCCGGAGCAGCCCCCGCGAGCCGCAGCCCCGCGGGACGGAGGGCGCCCCATGAGCCCCCCCAGATGAGCCAGGCAGCCAAGGGGGAGCCCCCCGGGGCCGGCATGGCGCAGGAGGGGCCGCCCGCCTTCTACCCCAGCCAGGAGCTCGACCTGTCCACCAAGGTGTACAAGAGGGAGTCAGGGAGCCCCTTCTCGGTGCTGGTGGACAGCAAAGTGAGCAAGGGCCACCTCCACGAGAGGGAGGAGCAGCCGTTTTTCAGGGAGAGCAGAGCGGTAGGAGAGGTCCGGGCTGTGAAAGAAGACAGGGAAAACTCTGACGACTCTGAGGAGGAGGAAGAGGAGGAAGATGAAGTGACTTACAAAAGGGAGCAGATTATAGTGGAGGTAAACCTTAACAACCAAACCTTAAATGTGTCCAAAGGGGAGAAGGGTGTCCCCTCCCAGTCCAAAGAGACTGCTGTCCTTAAGAGCAGCAGTGAGGAAGAGGAGGGTGACAGTGGGGAAGAGGCCACGGAAGACAGTAATGATTACGAGGAGAATGAGAGGCAGAAGAAAAAGGAGAAGAGAGTGGAGAAGGTCAGTGTTGGCCAGAGGAGAAGCAGGAGAGCTGCCTCCGCCGCGGCCGCCGCCGCCTCCCCGGCGCCCCGAGCGACGCGGGGGCGCAGGAAGAGCGCGGAGCCCCCCAAGCGCAAGAAGAAAGCTGCCAAGGAGCCCAAGGCACCTGTGCAGAAATCCAAGTGTGAAGAGAAGGAGACTCTGACCTGTGAGAAGTGCCCCAGGGTGTTTAACACACGCTGGTACCTGGAGAAGCACATGAACGTCACCCACAGGCGGATGCAGATCTGCGACAAATGTGGGAAGAAATTTGTGCTAGAGAGTGAGCTGTCCCTCCACCAGCAAACTGACTGTGAAAAAAACATCCAGGTAGGTCTGCTCGCCTGCTGGCCAGGTCCCCACACCTCCTGGCGTGCCCTGGATCCGCCTGGTGGACGCTTCACGGGGGAGGAAAAAAAAATAAATCTCATTTTGCACGGCCCCGGGTGCTGAGCCGGGCCTGGGCTCTGCCTTCTCCCACATTCCGGGGTCTCCCAAAAGGAGGGGATGGCAGGGAAAAGAGTGCTCAGCTGCTCTGAGCAGTTACTCCAGGAGTAAACTGTGAGTTGGGAACACAAAGCTCCTTGAGCTGGGTCAAAATCTGGAGTAACTGGTCCCAAAAATCCGAAGTTCTGTGGTAAATCCTCCTCCTGCTCCTGCCGAGCACCGCAGCTCTCACTGAGTTTAGAATTCCAGTCTGGAATTCCAGTGTCTGGAAGTACTGTCCCACGGTGGCCAGGTGAGGTTTCCAGGGCAGAGAATTCCAGGGATTGCCTGGAATGGGAAAGCTGTGAGATCCCAGGGAAGCAGCAGTTTTGGTTTTGGGTTTTTGGTTGGGTTTTTTGGGGTTTTTTGGTGGTTTTTTTTTTCACCTAAAGTCAGGATCTGAGCTGGGGTTAAAATGGGGTTTAAACTCCTCTGAGACCACGGGAATTCCCAGAGTGGTTCCCAAGGGTTGGAATTCAGCACCTGCACCCCGAGCCTGCCCCTTCCCCGGCAGGAAACACCAGAAAATCTCCCCCAAACCACAAAAATCTCAATTTTTTCTCCCCAGCAGTGCTGATTTCTCCCAGGAGTAGGAGGAGCAGCTCTGCTGGGAGGTTTTGGGAGCTGTGGAAGAACTCCAGAGCTCCTGGTCCCTCCGTGCCAGGGCACTGCTGCTTTCCCTGGCACCCCAAATCTGCTTTTTTGGCCTCATTTTCACCCACCTCCCCCAGAAATCCTGCCAGCAGCAGCGGCTCCGGTTGGATTTCTGGGCAGCTGGAATTTGTAGGGCAAGGAGGGTTTTTTGTGTGAGAGTTGGAGCGCAAGGATTGAATATTTTTCATTGTTTGTTTGCTTTCAATGCTGAACTGGGTTGATCCTCAGCTCCCACAGCGTGGGAGACGTGGAATATTTATTGCAATTTCTCTTTTCCAAGCTCTTTTCCCAGCTCTGTGTAGCTCTGGGCTGCTTTTTTTTTTTTTTTTTCCCCATAAGTTTCAGCTCAAGGAAGGATTTATTAATATAAATTTCATTTTTGCAGCTTTTGAAAGAAATATTTGACAAATTCAGTGCAGCAGGGAGGATTTAAATGGGAATTTAAGAGATGCCCCAGCATGCAGGGGGTTCATTCACAGCAAAAAATTTAAGCAGGAATTAAAAATGTAATCAGGAATTTGTGAATATTTTGAACACATAAAATGGTGAAATATCCTGTATCCATCTACACGTGCGTCCAAAAGTGACAAGAAAAGGAGGAATTATAGAAATTATGATTTAAATTCAGAGGAATCTGGTCCAGAGACGTCCCAGTGCCAGCAGCACTGAGAGTCACCTTCAGGTCCTCAATATCCAAGACTAAATCCAGCAATTCTTGTTCTGTCCTGACCTTTGGGATGCGTTTTCCAGCTGCCTGTTGCTGTGTTTTTATCCCAGTTGCCAATAGGATTGAGGGAAAATTAAAAATTTCCCTTAATTCGGGGTTAAATGTGTCAAGGGGGAGCTTTGTCCTGGAATAAAACTGGTTTAATATCGGATTGAAAGGAGAACCAAGGCTGGCTCCTCCCGGTTTTCCATCCTGGGGATGGAATAAATCTGTTTTTCCAGGTGATTTCTGCTTTTTCCACCTTCACCCGGTTTCTGTCGTCACCATGAGCTCTGTGCTGGGATTTAAATCCTGAATTCTGGGGTGGGTTTGGCCCCTCCCCGGGCTCCTTCCTCTGTCAATCCGAGCATTTTGGGGATGCTTCCCTGGAATTTCTTTGCTCTCCCGGAATTTTTTGCCCTCCCAAGCAGCAGAATTCCCAAACCCGCTGAGGAGCGCAGCTCCTGACGAGCAGAACGGATTAATTAATTCATCAATCAGCACCCAGCCCTTCCGACGGTGGGGGAAGGGTGGGAATGGGTGGGCTGGGAAGTGGAGCTCTCCCAAAAAACCCCAAACATCCCAAAAAATCCCCGGAGCAGCACAGCTCCTCCCCGTGCCCTCCCAGCTGGAGCTGATCCGGTTTCCTCGCGCGCCGGGACTTCCACCTGGAATTTCCGCACCGGACACGGAATTTTTAAGGAAGTTTTTGGGAAGAGCTGCTGGGAAAAGGAAGAGCTGCCTGAAATCCTGGCGGGGGCGATTCCCTGGACATCCCAGAGGAGTTTTGGGAAGGAATTCTCACCCTCCAGTGCCACTTTGGACCTTCAGTGAACGCAGAGAGCGCGGCAGGAGGAGCTGATCCCGGAGCGTCCGGCGGGATGGGAGCTGCTTCCCACGGAGATCCAGAGGGATGGGAGAGCCTGGACTGGCCCACCTGCATTTGGGAAGGGCTGGATGGGATTTTGGGAATTTACAGTGTCGGCCTCATCCAGCTCTGTTGGGTTCTTCCCTCTCCAGGAGTTTGGATTTTCTCACTCCAAGGGTTTGGATTTTCCCACTCCAAGGGTTTGGATTCTTATCTCACCAAGAGTTTGGATTCTTCCCTCTCCAGGGTTTGGATTCTTTCTGCTCCAAGGGTTTGGATTTTTTTCTGCACCACGGGTTTGGATCTTCCCTCTCCAAGGGTTTGGATTTTCCCACTCCAAGGGTTTGGATTCTTTGCCCTCCAAGAGTCTGGATCCTTCTCATTCCAGGGGTCTGGATTCTTTCTACTCCAAGGGTTTGGATCCTTCTCACTCAAAATGTTTGGATTTTCCCACTCCAACAGGAACGCTCCCAGGAAGTGGGAATGGCCCTTGGATTTTTCCATTCCAAGGGTTTGGATCCTTCTCACTCAAAATGTTTGGATTTTCCCACTCCAAGGGTTTGGATTTTTCCATTCCAAGGGTTTGGATCCTTCCCTCTCCAAGGGTTTGGATCCTTCTCACTGAAAATGTTCAGATTTTCCCTCTCCAGGGCCGGACTCTCCCAGGCCCTGTGGAGCTGTCCCCGTGCCCCTCCCGTGCTGTTGGATTTTGGGGATCAGGAGGCACCGGAACACCAGCAGTGCCTCCCCTCCCCTCTGGAGTGATCCCAAAATCCATTCTCACTGCCTCCCTCAGGTGTAAATCCCAAAATCCATTCCCACTGCATCCCCTCAGTTGTAATCCCAAAATCCACATTCCCACTGCCTCCTCTGAGGTGTAAATCTCAAAATCCAATCTCACTGCCTCCCCTCCTCTCAGTTGTAATCCCAAAATCCATTCTCACTGCCTCCTCCCAGGTGTAATCCCAAAATCCATTCCCCCTGCCTCCTCCCAGGTATAAATCCCAAAATCCATTCTCACTGCCTCCTCCCAGGTATAAATCCCAAAATCCACATTCCCACTGCCTCCTCCCAGGTATAAATCCCCAAAATCCACATTCCCACTGCCTCTTCCCAGGTGTAATCCCAAAATCCACATTCCCACTGCCTCCCCTCTGGAGTAAATCCCAAAATCCACATTCCCACTGCCTCCTCCCAGGTATAAATCCCAAAATCCACATTCCCACTGCCTCCTCTCAGGCGTAATCCCAAAATCCACATTCCCACTGCCTCCTCTCAGGTGTAATCCCAAAATCCACATTCCCACTGCCTCCTCCCAGGTATAAATCCCAAAATCCACATTCCCACTGCCTCCCCTCTGGAGTAAATCCCAAAATCCACATTCTCACTGCCTCCTCCCAGGTATAAATCCCAAAATCCACATTCCCACTGCCTCCCCTCTGGAGTAAATCCCAAAATCCATTCCCCCTGCCTCCTCCCAGGTGTAATCCCAAAATCCACATTCCCACTGCCTCCTCCCAGGTGTAATCCCAAAATCCATTCCCCCTGCCTCCTCCCAGGTGTAATCCCAAAATCCACATTCCCCCTGCCTCCTCCCAGGTGTAATCCCAAAATCCACATTCCCACTGCCTCCCCTCTGGAGTAAATCCCAAAATCCATTCTCACTGCCTCCTCCCAGGTGTAATCCCAAAATCCATTCCCCCTGCCTCCTCTGAGGTGTAACCCCCCAAATCCACAATCTCGGGCACTTTTTTCACCGTTTGGGCCCTTTTTTGGCGCGCCCAGCCTCAGTTTCCCCTAACCCGGCTCCCCTCTGTGTCGCCCAGTGCGTGTCCTGCAACAAATCCTTCAAGAAGCTCTGGTCCCTCCACGAGC